GCGGTGATGGGCCCTGTTTTCCACCAACCACTATTACCATAAATTAGAGGGGGAGGGGGTCCTCCTCCTCCTCCTCCTCCTCCTCCTCCTCCTCCTCCGTCCGGGAGGAGCGGCGGGGAGCCGAAGGCAGGGCGGCTAGCTTCAACACGGATCTGCCCTCGAGCGGGAAACGCCTTTAGACAAATGCACAAAACCTGCGGGCACTCTCGCATGCCCCGGCCTGCCGTGGGCACGGCGGCGGATCTCGCACTCCCATTCTGGAAGTCCTGCTCCGCGCAGCACGGGGACAGGAGGAGGCAAGGGGAGCGAAGGCGTGTTTGTGTGTGTGTATTCAGGAGGGGAAGAAACACACAGACACAATGAATCGTCGACTCCCAGGAAAATATGGGAAAATATGGGGTGTGGGGGGGAAGACAGAAACCCAGAACAGATTGGAAAATGTGGGGAGTTCTGTTATTTGTTTCTATTTATTTGTGTGTTTGTGGGCCCCTTCATGTAACCGCATGCCGATGATAATAAAGGGACCCCCCCCCTTCAGTGTTTAGAGTTGATTATCGTCGCCCTATACAAAATTCAAATTGGGCGGCGAGCGCTGAGGCCGAACTTCATTATCACCTCGAAACGCTATGTTGAGATAGCAACATCAAGCGATGTTGCTATCCCCGCGCGCGCCTGAACTTTTTTATCTCTGGGGTTGATGATCCACGGAAAGGGGAGCACATGAGCTACCCTACATGAGCACTTAAACAAATCAATGTTCATAAAGCGTTTGTAAATAAAAACTGATAGATTTGGAACTTTCCATTTTTCCGTTATTCTTCTCTTCTGTTTTGTTCTCTTCTTCTTCTCTTCTTATTATCTTTCTATTTTCCTCATCTTCTGTTAAATTTCTATATGTCCTCACGCTCGCCTGAACTTTTTCATCCCTGGGGTTGATTATCCATGGAAAATGAAGCACATGAGCTACCCTACACGAGCACTAAAAAAAAACAAATGTCATAAAGCGTTTGTAAATTAAAGTTGATAGATTTGGAACTTTGGATTTTTCCTTTCTTCGTCCTCTTATTATTATCCTCTTCTTCTTTTTCTTTCTTATTATTCTTCTACTGTATTATTCTTATTGTATATTTCTCTCTGTCCCCCACGCTCGCCTGAACTTTTTTATCTCTGGGGTTGATTATCCATGGAAATTGAGGCACATGAGCTACCCTACACGAGCACATGAGCTACCCTACACGTGCTCGGCTTGGTCTCCTCTTGATCATCTCTTACTTCGAGATTATGCTGAGGTCTGCTGGGCTACTTGTATTATCTCTCCCTGAACCCCGAATTGTATTATCCCCTAGTGTTTATTCTCACGGGCATGAGGTTATGTGCGTCCCCGCTCTGAGCGGGCCCGGCTTCCGTCTCCCTCCTGCCCGCGCCGGGCGTTCCCCCCCTCTCTCCCCCGTGCAGTGCGGCTCGATTCGCATTCGTATGCCTTGCCCATGCTCTTCCGTCGGCGCAGTCCCTCTGCCTAGCCGCCGTCGTTAAAAGTATGTGTGCGTGCCCTGCAGTCTGCGCAAGAAAAGGGTTCCCTTCGGGCGGCGCGAAGATAGTCGCGCTTCACGCGTCGCGGCCTGCCTGGGCTGGAGGGGTGCCCCTCTCCATGGCGGCCTCGCGGGGGCGCGAAAATAGCCGCGCGTGGCGCATCGCGGAGCGCGGTGTACGAAGTTCGGTGTCTTGAATATCCCGGAAGGTTTGGATAACCCCTAAATGAGTTTTCGGGTGGTGCCTAAACTCGTCCTTCCCCTTCTCGCCCTTCACAATTCTCGCCCTTCCCCGACCCCCCAATAAGCACTCGGGTGGCACCTAAACTCGTCCTTCCCCTTCTCGCCCTTCCCCTCGTCGTCATCACCATGAGGATCATCTCCCTGGCCCGATCATCAGCGGTAGTCAACACGGAGGAATCATTGTTTTCCCCATATCGTTGGGGCCCGTACTTTCGCAGTAGTCCTGGGGCTTGCGACTTTGCATCTAATTCCCGTCTGCAGCTTTCCCTGGTTGCCGGTTACCCTGGTCGCCCGCCGCTTCCGTCTCGTTGCACGTGATTTTGGCAGTACTGGTGACCTGCCTACCGCCTGCCCTCTCCATTCGACGGCCAGCCGCTGAGGTGCTGCGTGAGGCTCCGCCCCACCGTTTTAGGCTAATTCGTCTGTGCGCGCTCCGCTCTGACTGGACTCGCCGCTGGCGCGTTCGCCTGCGGCCGCTGACAAAGAAAATATCGTTGGGGCCCACATCCGCCAGGAAACCCGCGGACAAAAAACAAACATACATACATACATACATACATACATACATACATATATATGTTGTGGATTGTATTTGCTGGGGTCGGAGACCCCCTGTGCAGGAGCAAGCCTAGCATGGCATGATCGGAACAGCGTTGACAGGTCCTCTTGGCTCAAGAGATGACAACCACATCATCAATCTAGCTACATGGTAGCGGAGCTCGGTTCCCAAGCCACGGGGGCTGAGCTCGCGCGCCGCGCGACATCCCAGCCCGCGAGGGCTGCTCTTCAGCAGCGATGGCGGCGATCGAGGTGGTTGACGTGCGGACCGACATGCGGCTGCAGTGGTTCAGCGGCACGGATGAGAAGTGGGGAGACTGGAGTCCCCGATTCGAGGCCTACACCGCGCTGCTCGGCTTCGAAGAGTTCATGGCCGCGGCGGGCCAGAGGCAGGACCCGCTGCTGAACGACCAGCTCGACGAGCGCGCGAGGCAGTTCAGCCAGCGTCTGTGGCACTTGCTGATCACTTACTGCGAGGGCAAGGCGATGGGAGTGGTCGAGCTCTCGCGCAGGAACGGCCTCGAGGCGTGGCGCCAGCTCAAAAATGAGTACGAGAGCCGTTCAGGGAATCGTTGGACGGCGATGCTGCGTTTCATCCTGAACCTGCAGGACAAGTGGGCCAATAATCGCGAGGCGGGCATCGACTTGTTTCAGTCGTTCACCGCCTGGGAGGCGATCGTGGCCGAGTACGTGGGTCAGAGCGGCGAAGCCGTCTCTGACAATGTCAGGGCGAGCGTGCTGCTGGAGCGCGCGCCAGATCCATATCGTGAAGTGTTGCGACAGGCCCCAGAGAAGGTGAAACTCACATTCGGCGCAGGTCGCAGCCACACCAGGGGCTACTACAACCAAGGAAGGACTTTCACTCACGTCCCAGACGTGGGCGGGGTCGCCCTGATGCAGGTGGACGCAGTCCGCGCCCAGCTTCCCAGTGGCAAGGCCAGCGGCAAGGGCAAGACGCACAAGGCGGGCAAGTCAGGCGGGAAGCCGGGCAGATACGAGAAGGGCAAGGACTCGAAGACCAAGTGTAGGGGTCGCGACGGCGGCAAGTGTGCCAAGAACCAGACGGAGTACTTTGACGGCGAGCGCGGCTACTGCGGCAAGTGGGGCCACAAGCGGGCAGACTGCAGGAAGAAGAAGGCCGACGATTCGAAGAAGGAACCAGGTCACACGCGAGCTGTTCAAGGCGACGCAACCTCGTCATCAGGCCAGCAGCCAGCGGATGGCACGGTGAAGGCGGCGTCGGGCTACTATGACGGCAAGCCCGATGGCCGGGCGTTCGCGGTCACGGCGCAGACGGGCGGCAAGACGACGAAGGCCGGCGGCCCCATCCTGATCGACAGCGGCAGCGACGACCATCTCTGCAGGCACAGATTTGTCCCAGAGGCCCCCATCAGCGCTGCACTGGACGCGCCGAGGCACTGCGACGTGCAGCAGCGCCCACTACCGACGGCAGGCCTGAAGGGAGTAGAGATGGCCATGAAGGAGGGCATCACGGCGACGGCGGACTTCCTTGTCGCTGACGTGAACGACGATCTGCTGAGCATGGGGAAGCTGCTCAGGCAGGGCTTCAGGTTCAACCTCAGCCTGGAGGACGGGCTCTACATGGCGAAGGGCCATCGCAGCGTGCAGCTCACGCTGGAGAGGAACAGCCTCAGGCTCCGATTGTCTCGGCGGGCCCCGCAGATGAGGCTCGCCACTGCCGCGGAGCGGCAGAACGGCAGGATGCGGCGACAGCTCCTGTGCTCAACGCGGACAGCTCGGTCGGCGCGATGAGGGCCGGGCTGGGGGAGTTGTGCATGCCCATCTACGGTGCCAAGGCGGAGCTCTGGGACAGGCTCATCGTGGCGGAGGCCGCGGTCAGGCGATCGGAGGCTGAAAGGGCGCACAAGCAGGCAATCAAGGAGCAGCTCGGGGCCCAGCGCGACCCAGTCGAGGCTAGGGAGTTACCCGCGCCGCTAGCTCCGAGCGCTGAGGGGGAGAGGCAGCCCCGCCTCGCTCATCTACCAACCGCGCCCTGGTGCGAGGAGCGCATCCGTGGCAAGGCGCCCGAAGCCCCCCGCCTTCAGGTCACGCTCGAGGACTCCGAGCGGAAGGCGCCGCTCATCAGCTTCGACTTTGGGTTCTGTAAGACGGCTGATGAGGACGGGGACCAGACGAAGGTTGAGGACACCTACGCGGCGATGCCCGCGGCTTTCAGCTCGGACGCTGGAGTAGTAAAGGTCATTCCATGCCCATCGAAGTCGGCACCACCATGCGCGATTGCAGGCATCAAGCAGTTCGCGCAGCGGCTCGAGACGGGCAAGTGCAGACTCAGGACCGACTCTGAGCCTGCAACGAAGGCGATCCTGGACGGGTAGTCGCAGAGCTGGCAGGCAAGGTCACTCCAGAACTGACGCCCAAGCACAGCAGCCAGTCTAATCCAGCGGAGGCGGCGGTGAAGATCGTTGAGGGCCAGACGCGTCCTCAGGCTGGATCTCGAGAAGCGCTACGGCACCAGGATCACCGCGGCGATGCCGATCTGGGCCTGGATGATGCGTCACGCTGGGTGGCTACGCGAACGGCACTCGCGACGGGCTGGAGGACAGACCTCGCATGAGATAGCGACAGGCACGCCCTACAAGGGCGACATTTGCAACTTCGGCGAGACGGTGCTGTTTCGAATAGCTCGACCAAAGCATCGAGGACTTGGTGGAGGACGGCGGCTACACCGCGGGGAAGCGCAGTGGAGCCGCGGGATCTGGGTTGGCAGATCCGACGAGTCCCAGGAGCATCTGATGATGATGCCGCAGGGGATCGATCGAGCTGGGACAGTGCGACGGCTACCTGAAGGCGGACAGACCGACAAGGGCCTCCTACTGTCGGCGACGGGCCCCCCCTGGGCGCCGAGGACGGCGCCCGGGAGGTCGAGGCGACGACGGGCAGCCCCGCACGTGGCGGCAGAGATCCCGAGGGCGGAAGGACAGCAGCAGGCGCAACCGCAGGCAGGGCCACCCGAGGGCGGAGCGGACCCTGCTCAGCCCCCGGCCCCGCCGCAGGCCCCAGGCCCAGCGGCGGCGGCGAACCCGCCGCAGCCGCAGCCGCATCCCCAGCAGCCGGCGCCGCCAGCGCCACGAGACGTGGCCATGGGGGCGCCGCCCGTGCAGGCAGCGAGGCGCGGGCTGCCGCCCGAGGCGGAGGCCTCAGAGAGCAAGCGAGCGCGGGTTGCAGCGGTTCACGAGTTGGACGTCGGCAACGTAGACGACCCGCCCGGCGCGTTCTGGGAGGAGATCTCGGATGAGGTCGAGGACCCGACAGAGGGCGTGTTCGACGTGGACGCGCAGGACGAGCTGGACAAGAAGCTCACTCTGGAGCACCTGCAGAGCCTCCTGGACCACGGCGTCGGCGAGGACATCCCCAAGTCGGAGGCAAGGGGAACGAAGCGCATCACCACCCGCTGGGAGAAGCAGTGGATGTGGAAGCCGGCGCGACGGGAGTGGCAGCGCAAGGTGAGGTTCGTTTGCCGTGAGTTCCGCTGGCAGGAGTGGCGCGACGACCTGTTCACGCCAGGATCGGCCCCGATCTCCAATAGGCTCATGGACTTCGTGGCTCTCAAGCGCGGCTTCGAGGTGATGGCGCTGGACGCGACGGGCGCCTTCTACCAGGCGCCCGAGCACGAGGACGTGGTGGTGGATCCACCGCAGGAGTACCTGGACAGGCTGCAGGCAGAGGGCAGGAGCACGGACATCTACTGGAAACTGAAGAGACAGCTGCCTGGCAGGCGCACGGCGGCGCCTGGCTTGGCGGGGCACTTGGCGGGCATCCTCACGGACGAGATGCGCGTGGCGAGGTGCGAGGTGGCCCCTCAGTTCTTCTACAACTCGGAGACTGAGGTGGTGGTCGAGCTCCACATGGACGACCTGCACATGGCAGGGCCAAGGGGCGCGCTGGAGGGCTTCCGCGACGAGCTGGGACAGCACGTGACCTTCAGCGGCGGCGAGATCCACGAGTACGGCACCACCTACGAGCACCTGGAGAGGTTGGGTACGCGGTTCGAGCACGGGACGGAGGTTAAAGCGAACCCGAAGCACTTGGATTACGCGGTGGGGACCCTCGGCCTCGGGAACTCGAGCGCGACGCCCATTGCAGGGGTGCCGGCTCGCAAGGCACGCATGGGGAGCACTGCTGCCCTGTCTCCCGTTCAGGCTGGCATCTACCGATCTTGCGGGGGGGCGCTGGTGTATTGCGCCCAGGCCAGGGCGGACTGCCAGCATGAGGTGAGCCTGCTAGGACGGATGCTGTCGGGCCCCACCGTCGGCGCCTTCACCGCGCTCAAGAGGTTGGCCAGGTACCTGATGGGCACGAGGGGCGCGGTGAATTGGCTTCCGGGACCGACGGGAGGCGCGAACGTGGAGCTGGTGGGCTATGGCGACAGCGACTGGGCAGGCGACCTGCAGGCGAGGAGGTCGCAGTCAAGCGGCAAGGTCGAGAGTGACAACGTCCCCATGCACTCCTTCAGCAGGCGCCAGGGGATCGTGGCGACTAGCTCGGGAGTGGAAGAGTACTACGCGGCGACGGCAGTCGCCGAGGATCTCCATTACTTCAAGTCGCTCCTGGAGTTCATGGGCTTCACGGTGGCGACTACTCTTCTGACGGACTCGTCGGCGGCCCGAGGGATTGCCAAACGCGAGGGAGCTGGCAAGGTCAGGGGCCTGGAGGTGCGCGTGCTTTTGGCCCCAGCAGGTGATCAAGAGGAAGCTGATGGACCTCGGGACCGTCGGCGCCGACGACAACAGGGCGGACCTGGGCACGAATATCCTCGGGTACGAGCGCTTCGTCAAGCTCAGGACGATGAACGGCATATACACGGACATGGGCCAGGTCGCGGAGAGCGACCACCAGTCGGAGGAGGTGGACTTCGACGTGGGGGCGGCGGTCCGGGTTCGGCGCGCCAGAGGCGTGGCCACTTCACAGAGTGTGAGCCGCTTAGCGGCCCTGGCGATGATCACGGCCGCGGCGGCGCTCCTTCAAGGGCGCGAGGGACCCGCCACCGAATGCGACGGCTACTGCGACACGGAGGTTTGCTCCAAGGACGGCGCGGTCGCGAGCGACTGGACGAACTATTGGCTGGCGGTGGTCGTCTGGACGCTGGTCGCGTTCGGCTACGCGGGGCTCCGCTACGCCAACTGGGGGGAGCCAGAGTGGCTCCTTGTCCAGGCCGAGCCCGATGACGCGAAGGACAAGAAGGTCGACGCAGGCATCGGACGTGTGTCGACCACGTCGACTAAGTCGATGGTGGAGCAGAGCACCCGAAACATGAGGACCGTTGGCACTCAATCGCAGACAACCTACAAGTGGAGGTGGGCTACTCCGCGTTTCCAGCCACTGGCGATCAGCATGCACGGTGCCTTCCTTGAGGTGCATGCTGGCAGTGACGTCAAGGCCAGAGGACTTTCTGTACTGAGGCCCAGGGTGAGGACCTTGAGCGGCTACGCGTTGCACTGTGAAAGAGGACAGTGCGAGATTTGCTGAGCTCACGCTCCATCCGCCATGCTTAATACTAGTAATTTTCTCCTTGGAAGCTGAACCGATCAAGCGAGCCCACTCGAGACGCTTAGGCCCGTTGTGGGATAGCGCTCTGTATGTTGTGTCTATTCAGCCTGGGGGACGCCCCAGCCCAGTCAGCATCCTTTTGGGAGTCGTATGAAAGCTCGACTCTAGGCTCGCGCCGAGCTTCCAAGGGGGCGTGTTGTGGATTGTATTTGCTGGGTTCGGAGACCTCCTGTGCAGGAGTAAGCCTAGCATGGCATGATCGGAGCAACGTTGACAGGTCCTCTTGGCTCAAGAGATGACAACCACATCGTCAGTCTAGCTACAATATATATATATATATATATGTATATATAAAAAATATGTGTGTGTGTGTTTCACTCTTTGGGGGCGTCTTTGATCTGGGCTTCCAGTAGGGGGGGGGGCTCCCGCCGCCAGTGCTGATCTATCTTCGGGAGTATGGCCAGCGAGTGGCCTGTGGCTGTATGGGGCTGCGCGGAGCGCCACGACAAGGCCAGGGGGGGGACTTTTTGGGAGCTGTGTCTTCAGAGGCTCATCCGGAGGAGGAGGGTGCAGAATGCCGAGGAGGTGTAGGAGGAACCTCGAGATCTGGGCGTCGATCGTTGCCCATACTAAGCGCTTAAGCCTGTTTGTTCGAGCCCCGGGACACTCTCGGATCGATCCAGCTCGAGAACACTCACAGATCACAGAACGATTTCAGTCTTTGTTTGGGCGATGGCTATTGTGTTTTAGGGCGCTACGTCGGAACAGAGGAATGGTCATGGGGTCTGGGGGAGTTTGCGGTTCTTCGGGGTTTCTGGAGGTTCGAGGTGGGTTTGGGATCTAGGAGAAGGGAAAGGGAGGAGAGGAACTGCTTTGAAGTTCAGGGGCAATTGGGAGGAGTATGAAGAGGAAGTTCAGGCGGAGGAGGAACATTACGCGGAGGAGTCAGTGGAGGAGGAGGGGGAGGTTGATGACGAGGAGCAGCAACAGCAGCGGGATGATGTCATGAAGATGATATTGATGCTGCCGATGATGGTAATGATGATGGGGATGCTGATGATGATGACGATGATGATGATCATGATGCCGGTAATGCTGATGCTGATTCCTATGATGACGACGACGATGCTTATGATAATGCTGGTGAATGTGGTGATGCTGCTGATGATGATGATGACGAAGATGGTGATGATGATGCTGATGCTGATGACGACGGTGACGATGATGATGATGATGATGATGGTGGGGGTGCGATGATGATGGTGATGGTTATGGTGATGGTGATGCTGCGATGATGATGATGCTGATGATGATGATGATAATGATGATGATACTGATGATGATACTGATGATGATACTGATGATGATGATGATGCGGATGCTGCTGCTGCAATTGTTGCGGATGGTATGCTGATGCTACTGCTGCCGTTGTTGCTGCTGCTGATAATGATGAGGCTGATGTTGATGCTGGTGCTGATGCTCATGTCGCTGCTGTTGTTACTGAGGTTCACGACGACGACGACGAGGATGCTGACGATTGTGCTGATTGCGATGCTGATGCCGTTGATGATGAGGATGAGGATGATGAGGTTAACGATCATGATGGCGATGCTGATGTCGATGATGTTGTTGTTGATGATTGTGTTGACGATGATGAGGATGATCATGATGATGATGCCGATGCTGATGATGATGCTGATGCTGATGATGATTGGGAATGTGATGATGAGTATGATGATGCTGATCATGATCGTGGTGGTGGTGAGTGAGTGTAAGATCGTGGTGATGCTGAAGATGATAATAATCGTGATGATGTTAAGTATAATGATGCTGACGAAGATTTGATGATGCTGATGATGGTAATGAGTATGATGCTGATGCTGATTATGATGATGCTGATGATGCTGATGCTGATCATGATGATGCCCGTGATGATGATGAGGATCAGGAAGAGGAGGATGATGATGCTGCTGATGAAGTTGCTGATGATGCTAATTATGATAATGACCATGATCATGATCTTGATCATGATCATGATGATGATGTTGATGATGATAATGCTGATGATGATACTGATGATGATGCTGATGAAGCTGCTGATGATTATGATGCCCATGAT